CCGCCGGCCCCCTCCATCCCTCCGCCTCCGGCTGCTTCCCCATCCCTGCTTCTTTCCCCCCCCTCTGGTTGCTTTTATCCCCCCTCCCCTCTTGGCCCTTCATCCCTGGCCCCCTCTTCCTCCCTCTCTGCACCAAGCCTTGCTCCCTCCATCCCTCTTCTCTCTGCCCCTCCCATCACTCCCGCTCCCGCCATCCTCCCTCCTCTGGAGCCACCCGCAGCCACCCTTCCCTTATATAGCTCTATATGGGCGACCGAAGCACCACCCGGGAAGAGGCGATCCCTCCGCCTTGGGGAGGTATAAAAAAAATAGTCCACCCCGCAATATCCCCGCCCCCCCACTATTCTGTATACACCCCCCTCAAAATAGGGGCAGGGGGTCATGAATCCAGGAGAGGGAGGGGAACTGGGCAGGAGGGGGTAAGTTTTAGGTCCATCCCCAACCCCCCAGGACAAAATGGCCATCGGGGAATGTTCTAGAGGTCTCCGGCTGGGGAGGCCCGAAGCAAACAGGACTGGTTCAGGGGGAAGGAATTTAGCGTCACGCAACACACATGCTCGCCACATGCAACCAGGGGGCTGGCCTGGGCGGGGGGTGCAGGACATGCCCTTTGGTGTGGGCCAGACAGGGCCGTGGGGGAAACTGAGGCACGGACAAGGCCCTACGTCCTAGGGGGCTCGGGAGAGGCTTGTGACCCCCACCCCCAAATGAGGAAGGGGGGTAATTAGTGCTGAGAACCCCCCTCTCCCCCCCAGCCCCAGGCAGGAGGTTCAAAGACCATCCTCCATGCACATGAGACTGGGGTGATGTCAACAGGAAGAGGCTAATTTGGGGGGGGGGGGGAGCGTGGGGGAGGAATATGCATGCCTAGCCCCTGGCACGGTGAGAAGAAAGAGGGGTCAGCTCATTCTGTGGGTGACGCTAGAGCTGGCCCCTGCTGGGGGCAAAGGGGGTGCCAAAGGGGGGACACACCACACATACCACGCCCATCCCCCGACAGGGCAGGAGGAAGGGGGCGGAGGGAGGGCGTTACTGTCAGAGGTGACATGTACAACTCTGGCCCCGATAGGTCACAGGGTCGATGCGTGTGTGCAGACACACGTGTGCATGGTGTGTGCGCACACGTGGGCCCAATTGGAACCTGGGAGGGTATTTTTGTTTTGGGGGGGGGTGTTG